CAGAATTCCGAAGTTCCAGCACATTATTAAATTGGGATAACAGAAATAAACCAACAGCTTTTGAAACAATAACAAAATCACAAAGAGGAGTTATCCCCCACTCAAAATCATTCTTCAAACCAACTAAGATGGCTATGGATTAGCAGCACCAATAAAATCATGACCGCATTAACAAATTCTAGCAGCACCAATAAATCATGACCAACATTAACGAATTCTAGCAGCACCAATAAATCGTGACCAACATTAACAAATCATGGCTATAGATTCACTAATTGCCACAACATAACACCATATACACACACAAAATTCATAAATTTATATGGTAAGCCAACATATATTTAGGAACAATGATCTTTTATAGTTGACATATGGCAAAAGACAATAATAAAATTGTACATGCCAAACAACAAAGAAACCAAAAGAAAAGGCATATGGCAAAATCAAAACCTATTAGTGTTCGAGTATTTAATCTCAGGCAGCGACCCCACCGAGAACTTACACGTAACTGAACCCAGAGAAGATAAAAATTGGGTAGAATCTGAAACCAACATATGTTACGGAAATTTAAGGCACATTAGAAAACAAATAACGAAATACTAATAGGTTCATTGCAAAACATTAAAAGGTAAATATTTGCTTAAAAAAATGTTTCAGTCTTACCCGATGTCGATCCACACGGTCTTAGCAGTGGGGATGACGAACAACAACTTGCCGGTAACCGAAGTTGACTGAGTGGCAGAGGAACATTGCAACGGCGGTGTCGCTGCTCAATCAAAATCTTGTCAGATTACAATCTATTGGAATTCGAGTTCCTGAGAAAAATATTTAATCGGAATTAGCCTCTGAAAAAACTCGATTTGCAGATTGTTATGCTAATTAATCAATTTCACATTTGTAGGGGTGGCGACGGACGGTTGAGTTGGTGGTGGTGGTATCGATTATCTAGGACGATTGCTAATTGAACTTAACCTCTGTATGGAAGGGCACGGTATAGGAGAGTGCACCGACAAAGGATGGCGGTGGTGGTGAGTTCGTCGGTAGAGGGCGGCGAGATGCGGCGTGGCGCGGTGGTGGTGGTGGTGGAGGATTATGCTTCAACAACTTGAAGATGTAGATCTACATCCGCATCTTCCTCTTCACACTCTTCTTCTTTTCTCCAACGGCCCTTCTTCATGAGGTTTTTCTTTTCTGTCCGTCGGAGCCGGATTCTTTTCTCGGCCTTGGGTTGAGATTGATGATGTAGATTGATGATAATTATGGAGAGATTGATGATAAATATGTAAACCGTTTGTGTTGACCGAAAAATAAGTGACGGATGATAATTATTTAAATGAAAAGATATTGGTTCTAGATCCAATTCTCAGATTAATGCGCGTGAGATGGTATATTCCCGTTAATTAAGTCAGCCTTTAACAGAAATTGAGATGAAAAGATTTTAGTGAACAAATTTTTTTCCCGTTAATTAAGCTAGTATTTAACAGAAAGTAAGATGAAATGATTTCAAACGTGTGAAAAGAAAAAAAAAATCCAGATTTTTAATGAGGCTCCATAAATAGAAAGTCAAACAGTTGACTCAAATATTTTTGCTTTCCAAAAAAGATTTTTACATCAACCTTTTTTTATATATATAGATTATATAATTTTTTATAATTTTTATAAAAAATAAAATAAAATAAAAATCAGGCCGGGGCAGGGCGGGGCAGGGCAGGTCGGGATGGGCTGGGATACAAGACCCGGACCTGGCCCACTTAGCCTACGGGTCGGACCTAGCCTGCTTAGCCTACGGGTCAGACTTGGCCCGACCCGTTGTAGAAACGGGGCAAATTTGCCCCACCCCAAATGCTTTGGGTCAGGGTAGGTCGGGTCAAGTTCAGGTTACTTTGTCATCCCTACCGGCAAACGGTGAACCCTCGAAACTTTAAGAAAAAAATCGATTAGAAGTTAATTTTTTCATGTCAGCCGAATTTAAGTCTTAATTCAGAAAAAACCGGGTATAATTCATACTATTTTGAAATGGTACAACAATTTTATTTTTTTTAATATGCACCCTAAATTTATATATTTTGTGGATTTAATTTAGGTAAATTTCGACTGATGCAAAAGTCAATTTTCTTTCTCTACTTTTATTAAAAAAACTTATTAAAATAAAATCGAGAATTTCGAATTAGGAAAAATACTTTCACATATATCTTTTACTAATTGCAACAAATCAATTATTTATTATAAAAATTGGATTGCATAGTCGGCATGACAATTTTGTAAAGTCAAAATTCTTTTATTTTTTTATTAAAAAAATATGTTTACCATAGAATCGAGAATTTTTGAATTAGACAAAACACTATAACATGTATCTTTACCTAATTATAGCAGATCATGTTTATTAAAAAAATTGGATTACATAAAAATCGGGCCAAATTTCAAATTAAAATTTAAAAATCTTTTATCATTTGATTACTACTTTCTTTAATTCAGCCTTTTTTAAACATAAAACAAAGTCATATAATATTAATTTGAAATTCAAAATGAAATCGGATTGTAACATCATAAAAAATTGGGTTTTGTTTAATTATCTAGAATACAAATTTGAAATTGATTGAATACACTAATAAATTCTGTTCTTTCAGGTGCACGAAGGGGCAAAAGATTCGAGAGTCCAGGTTTCAGATATTCTATTTTGTTCATTTTGAGTACAAAAATAAATAATGATTTCATACACTTACAAAATATCGTATATATTATGCTAAATAATTTAACCGATTTATTTAAGACTATCTACAATCTTAATATAATTTTGTACCAAAAGACCAAACAAATAATTTTGTGTACAAAAATGTGTTTAATAATATATAATGTTACATTGTGTTTCATTTCAATACTAGTACAACACCCGTGTATTACACGAGTGCTT